GCTTGTACAGCCGCCATCTCCCAGATGCAAAAAATAAAAAATGGCAGGCTCTTGATCATCCACCTCCTGCACTGAGTGCTCCTCTCCTCTGTAACTGTGCAATTTAGAAACTTTGATGAGAATGAGATCTAATTCTTTAATCTAGCAGCTATCTATCTTTTCAGGGCCAAAGAATGTTGCCTTACCCATCTTGTCTATTTTCTTGTCACTCTTCATTTTTTAATGGCTTTAGCAGCAGTACTTTTGTATTTCCCTATAGGTCCTCTTTCTGATATATCATGAGCAGAGCTTTCTCTCAGTCCACAAATCACTCATATTACAAGGGCATGTGATTTTTTCCATGGCTTCTGACTAAAAACAATCAATGTTCTTGCTCTTCGTCACTTCTTCTCAAGTTTTCATACCCTCCATTTTCACAATCTAAACAAAATAATTAAACTAGTTTAACTAAACTTAGAGCTGTGGTGGCACAGTGTTTAGAATGCAGTACTGCAGGCTATGTCTGCTGATTGCTGTCTGCCTGCAATTTCAAATCGAATCTCACCAGATTCAAGGTTTCCCAGATCATATTTTTGGTTCATGTTCATTAAAAGATCCTGATGATTTTCATGTATATTTCTGCACAATATATACATATTCCCTATCCTACGCTTACATTTTTAATTCCTAATCCCTAACCCCCCATCCAAATATAATTATACAGTATTTTGTATTTGCTTCTGTTGAAATTCATCTTGCTGGTTTTTGCTTAATATTTCAACTTGTCAGGACCCTGCTGAATGTTGCTATTGTCCCCTAAGTTGCAATTGCTATCCTACCCATCATCTGCAAATGTAATCATCATATTCCTAATATTTTATCCAAATCATTTATTAATATGACACCACTTAATATTTCACTTTTGGCTTAATAAATAGCCATTCACTCACTGGATATGATAGTTCAATTAGCTCTGTTTCTATCTAAAGTTAATATAATTAATGGAAAACTCTGTTGTTATAAAGCCAATCCATAAATTTATGGTTTCCATACAAGCATGCAAAGCTAATCTTTAGGATATAAGTGACCCACTCTTTAGAAGTGACAGGATTATAATGGAGATATTTATACTTACATTTTGACAACTCTGAAAAGCAGTGTTACTATATAATTATATTTTTACTACTCTTACACAATTGGTGTGTGTGTGTGTGTCTGTGTCTGTGTCTGTGTGAAATATTGATGGATCAAATCTTTAATAAATACCTCAATATAATGTTCAACTAATATTTTGAATTTGCGTAAATATTTAAATTACAGAACCATGCTTTATTGAATTTTCTTATTTCAACCCTGCTATTTTGGTTGTTTGAAAATATAGTGTACAATACTTAAAACAGGATGAAATATTGACTGATAAAGAACAGCTAAAATTTTCTAAGCTTAAACTTTCTGGAAAACTACAATAATGCATACTTGTACCAATGTAAAAAGGGCAGACTGTTTCTAATTTTCAGTGCATTTCCAGACAAGCTAAAGAAATGCTTCTTTGAGTTGACCTTTGTAGACAATATCAGAATGTTAATTTGTGCACCTGGTTATTCAAAATTCCCTAGACTCATTTTTTACATACTGTATGCTAATATTATAAATAAATCACAATACTTTACTTGGAACAACTTACATTCTGAAGCAATACCTTTAATACCATCAAACAACAACTCCCTATTTCAAGTCCTTGAGAAAGAATTAACAGATGGATAAAAATTCAAAATTTAGTTTAAATATATGGCTTATTGTACAACCATCCATCTAAAAATAATAAATATACATGCTAGACTTCAAGAAAGCCAATTCCAACAAGCTTAGAAAAGTATTAAGTGAGACCCTTTGATCAAGTTGAAGGCAGGATGGGAACATCTTAAAAACAAGATATCAGAAATATAATCACACACCACTTCAGTGATAGGAAAAAATGTTGGGGACACTTAGGAAATTTCTATGGATGCGCAGGAAGATTTTGGCTGTGTAAGAAATTGAAAATGAAGTTGCCATGGAAGCAGACCACAAAATATCTAATAATCACAGAAAGTAAATTAGAAACAATAAAGTACTAAAGAAACTTCTGCTTGCAAAAGAAGTTAAAATCAACAAAAAAGGTTTTCTTGGCTATGTCAAAAGTAAGAAGAAGAAAAAAAAGAGGGGCCTGGTGTTTCAAGCAGATGCCAAGATGGCCAGGGTTTATGTGGGGATGTCACAATGCCCTAGCTCCTTTGCTTCAGCCCTTTATTCACAAAGGGGAATTATATTCCACTGGACCAAGCAAAAATGCAGAAAAAGGAAACTGGTAACCCAAGATAAACAAAGAGATATTACAAAACCCTTAAATATCTTTAAAGTTGCCAGGGCCAAATCAGTTACACCTGAAAGTCTTGAAGGATGTTGTGGACATCATTCTGGAGCCCCTTTCTCTGAACTTTGAGAAATCATCAAAGACAAATTTACTTCCATAAAATCAGAGAAGTAAATGTCTTTATTTTCAAAAAGGAGAAAAACAGTAACTGGTCAACTTGATGTCAGTACTGGGCAAAATGCTATATTACATTATCAATACCAACAGACTTAATATGCAACATTTCAAACAGAATGGAGTGCTGGGCAGAGTATCACTTGACAGAATGCAACAAGTCAAGGCAAACAAGCTTAATCTCCTTTTTGACATATACCAATTTAGTTCACTGCAATAATGTCTGAACTTTATCAAAGCATCAGGCACTTTGATATAGATCCTAGTAGAAAAGATGGAAAAATATGGGCTAGATTATGTTACCATTTGATGAACACAGAATCAGATGAACAACTGAATTCAATGAGTGTACATCAATGGCTTGGTGACAAATAGAAAGGAAGCGATAAATAAATAACAAATTATGTTCAAATTATTTATAAATGACACTGATTAGAAAATGATTATCAAATATGTGAATATTTGTAAAAATATAAGGATAGCAAACACTATGGGAGGAGAGCTTGAAGGTGTAGAAGGATTTTGATATGCAGGACACTGAGCAAAAACTAGGAAGATTAATTTCAACAGGGATAAATGCAAAGTCCTATATTTGTGTGGGACAAAAGAAACAGGGAATGTAGGAAAAAGATTTGAATTTTCTGATGAATCACAAATTGAACATAAACTCGCAGTGTAATGAAGCTGTGAAAAAAAAATGCAATCCTAAACTGCATCAACAGAAATATAATGTCAAGATGAAGAGATGTCAGTGTTCCCACCTGGAATACTTGTCCAATCCTGGGTGCTATATTTTTAAAAAGATATTAAAATGTGTATCTAGAAAAATAATCAATAGAGCAAGGGACTGCGAAATAATATGAGAGAACATTATAGGTATTGTGTTTATTTAGTCTGAAGGACAGAAATTTGTGAGGAGATACAATAGTTTTTTTTTCAAATACCTGAAGGGCTGCCATATAGAAAAGGAGACAAATTTGTTCTAAGTTGTTCTGGAATCCATGACAAGGTTTAAATTACAAGGATGAAGATTTAGGTTGAATATGGGGGTGGGGTGGGGGATCTAACTGTAAGAGCTGTTTGATTATGGAACAGATTCTTCAGGTAACAGACTCTTCAAATCTGGAAATATTTAAACAAATACTGGATATGGGCTGCCAGGGATAATATAGTAGTTAATTTTGGTCCTGAGCAGGCGATTTCCAAGGGTCCTTCAAATCCTTACATTCTACAGAAGATTTTCAAGACTTATTTGCAAAACTGAAACTAAACATAATCATTTTCTATACTTATTACATATAATAAGCACACAAAAGGAAACTATAAATTCAATAAGATGAGTGATTTGCAATTATGAAATGACTTTCATTAGCAACTTCACAGAGTTCCTAAATCTTAAGAGAATTATAAGTATGAGTTACAGTTAACCACTGTCAACTTAATGTTACATAAATTACAATTCATATTTCCTTCAGCCTACACAACAATTGTAATCTGTAGATATGTCAAATTTGAGAAAATAGAATGATCGTATATAATCCTATATTTTTGTTATTTTCATTAACAGTATCTAAGCAATCTTCCCCTCTCATGTACCTAACCTATGGTCACACTAGTATCTTGAAAATAATTAATGTTCCCAACAAAACATTTTATTCGGGATATCTAAGAATATTTTGATTGGTATTCCACATAGTACATAAATTAGGTAAAAATCTTGGTTATTTGTTTAATTTTAGATGCTTTTTTAAAAAAGTCTACAAACTGAACTGCAGGAAGACTTGGAATTACATAAAAAATGGGAAAGTTAAACAAGTTAACACTAATTGGTTCTGAGACAGCCATATTCCAGGCATTATTTTATGTTTAAATTAGTGAAAGTAATCCAAAAATAAATGCAGAGATTTTTAGACAGAGTAATGGTGTCTATTCATCAGTTACGTAGATATACAGATGGCAAAACTTTTTAATGAGGATTTTATATTAGTTCTGTATTTTCTGTCCTACTCGCATGAAGATCAAAATAGCATTTGTTTGTGAATACTAAGCCCACTTCCATAAAAGTAGAGATATGAAAACAAAAACTCAGACTAAAATATTTTCAGAATGTTCTGATTTCAACTGTTCAGGAAATAGACAACATGGACACAAATTTTCCTTCTGAAAGTATGTTCATTTATGTGGAACTGCTGTTATTTAACCTGATAATTTGTTACATGCCAGAATATATTATAAATATAATACTATTAAAAATTCTACCATTCCAGGAAAAAAATGGTTCCCCAATGAACTGCAGAATTCAAGAATGTCAAAGGAGAAGGAACATATAACCTTAGCTATATACAAGCCTGTCTCAGGATAATTTATGTTTGTTGCCATGCAACACAGACATTTCTCACTGTAGAAAGCAATACTGAACATCTGTAAGAAACATTTTGAACATTTCTTCACATAGCATTGCAACAAATAAACTCAGCCAATATGGTTAACTTACCGTTACAGACTTCAAAGTCATTCCATGGTAGGTGCCCATAGTATCAATCTTGAAACCTTCCGTCTCTATGAAATTAAAAACAAAAATACCCCAAAGTTTTAATGAGTATTGTCATATGTAAATCCTACAGCAACTAAAACAAATCACAACAAAAGAAACTGATCCAATGTGAATTTTGGTTTTGTTTGAAAGGAGAAAAGGCCACAGAGAGAATCAATATTCTTATGATAGTTAAATATATCTCCAACAAACTAAATGTTCAGATGGTTTGGAACAATGGATATTAGTAATCCATTTCTTTGCTTTTCTATTCTCTTCCATCTCCAGTAATAATTCTAGATTTTTTTTATTCATTAACTGAAATAAATAGCTATTATGCTGCTGAGCAATTTCTAATCTTTTAAAGCATTCTTAGAAATTGGTAAGTGACTGTCAGGCTTCATATACACATTTGATTCAATACCTTTCATATACACTGCTCAAAAAAAATAAAGGGAACACAAAAATAAGACATCCTAGATCTGAATGAATGAAATATTCTTATTAAATACTTTGTTCATTACATAGTTGAATGTGCTGACAACAAAATCACACAAAAATTATCAATGGAAATAAAATTTAGCAACTCATGGAGGTCTGGATTTGAAGTTACACTCAAAATTAAAGTGGAAAAAAACACTACAGGCTGATCCAACTTTGATGTAAGGTCCTTAAAACAAGTCAAAACGAGGCTTAGTAGTGTGTGTGGCCTCCACGTGCCTGTATGACCTCCCTACAACGCCTGGGCATGCTCCTGATGAGGTGGCGGATGGTCTCCTGAGGAATCTCCTCCCACGCCTGGACTAAAGCATCCCCCAACTCCTGGACAGTCTGTGGTGCAATGTGGCGTTGGTGGATGAAGCGAGACATGATGTCCCAGATGTGCTCAATTAGATTCAGGTCTGGGGAACAGGCGGGCCAGTCCACAGCATCAATGCCTTGTGGCTGGAGTTTGTCTTGCAAGAACTGCTGACAAACTCCAGCCACATGAGATCTAGCATTGTCTTGCATTAGGAGGAACCCAGGGCCAACCGCACCAGCATATGGTCTCACAAGGGGTCTGAGGATCTCATCCCGGTACCTAATGGCAGTCAGGCTACCTCTGGTGAACACATGGAGGGCTGTGCGGCCCCCTAAAGAAATGCCACCCCACACCATTACTGACCCACTGCCAAACTGGTCATGCTGGAGGATGTTGCAGGCAGCAGAACATTCTCTATGGCATCTCCAGACCCTGTCACATCTGTCACATGTGCTCAGTGTAAACCTGCTTTCATCTGTGAAGAGCACAGGGCGCCAGTAGCAAATCTGCCAATCTTGGTGTTCTCTGGCAAATGCCAAACATCCTGCACGGTGTTGGGCTGTAAGCACAACCCCCACCTGTGGACGTCGAGCCCTCATACCACACTCATGGAGTCTGTTTCTGACTGTTTGAGCAGCCACATGCACATTTGTGGCCTGCTGGAGGTCATTTTGCAGGGCTCTGGCAGTGCTCCTCCTGTTCTTCCTTGAACAAAGGTGGAGGTAGCAATCCTGATGCTGAGTTGTTGCCCTCCTCCACATATCCTGATGTACAGGCCTGTCTTCTGGTAGCGCCTCCATGCTCTGGACACTACGCTGACAGACATAGCAAACCTTCTTGCCACAGCTCGCATTGATGTGCCATACTGGATGAGCTGCACTACCTGAGCCACTTGTGTGGGTTGTAGACTCCATCTCATGCTACCACTAGAGTGAAAGCACCACCAGCATTCAAAAGTGACCAAACTATCAGCCAGAAAGCATAGGAACTGAAAAGTGGTCTGTGGTTGCCACCTGCAGAACCACTCCTTTATTGGGGATGTCTTGCTAACTGCCTATGCTTTCCACCTGTTATCTATTCAATTTGCACAACAGCATGTGAAATTGATTGTCAATCAGTGTTGCTACCTAAGTGGACAGTTTGATTTCACAGAAGTGTGATTGACTTGGAGTTACATTGTGTTGTTTAAGTGTTCCCTTTATTTTTTTGAGCAGTGTACATTTTCTGATTATCTATTTACCTAAATAAATAAATATTACTTTATATTTTTGTGCTAGACATAATAACCACATATTTCCACAATTCTTCTCCATTACCTTATGGGCAAATTTTCATATTTACTTATTTTATATATTTATGCTGTTAAATTCTGCCTGTATTAGAATATGTTAACATTTCCTGTTCATTTCCCTATCGTAAGTGGTATCTTCTACCAAGATACATAAATGCATTTATTTGCTCTAGTTTTTAGCATTTATATGTAACATTGAATTGTTTACTCAATTTTTCTTAACTATCTTGCTCTTTAATACGTTATTCTTCAGATGCATATTCCTCAAGTCATCATAACTTAGTGTTGTGAATCATTCAGATTCTCAGTTGACAATATGGCAACATTTGCATATAAAACAAGAGATAAATTCATGTTCCCAACTAGTGTAAAATATGGAATAGATCTGTGTAAAAACAGATCTTCAGAGTAGCATTATATATTTATCTGTAAATATTTTTAACACTTACATAAAACATTACAGGTATTCCTCAACTTACCGTCAGTTAACAATGTTTAAAGTTACAACAGCCTTGGAAAAGGTGCTTTACTACTCATAAAGCACTTCTGATTGTTATAAAACTTTACTGACCCTCTCATATTCACATGCTTATGATCTAGGTGCTTGGCAACTTGATTGTACTCAGAACTGGTTGCAAGTGCTTTGCAATAAAAGAGCAGTCCTCTTCTGTAAATAGAAAGGAATCAAGCTCCTCTGATCCAGTGGAGAAACAGAGTTCAGATCCCAAAGATCCAACCTCCATACTTTCTGTCCACTGGAGAAGTTCCTTTTTATGGATAGATGAGAGCTAAACTCATTCAGCAAGTGAGGAAACATTCCCAGTTCCCAACTATCAGAGCTCCTTTCCTGCAACCTGTCCCAGCAGATTCCTTCTGTGCATGTAGGGGAGCTGAATTCAGCAGGTAGCTCTTTCACTCATCTGGTTAACAATCCAGGTGATCACTTAAGGTCTGCATCTGGGAATGCCAGGACTGTGATCATTTACTGAAGCAGTGAGATGGGCATCTTGGTTAATGACCACTTTGTTCAATTATCCAATTGTGGTTGTAAGTTAAGGTCTACCTGTACCATATCTTAATTCCTCTCAATGTTGTACCATTTTCTAAACTTGTCCATTTACTCTGAACATATATGACTGCAGGGGCATTTCAATCCCCCTCCCCCAACCTATCTTCTTCCCATCTCTTTTGCTGGCTTGCACAGTGGCACATTTCAGTAGTGATGACAGCACTGGGACTGAAGTAGAGGTCCAGGGCCTTTAGCAGTTTTAGCCAGCTGCCACTTCCCCTAGGTCTGTATTTCCCTGCACTCTTGCATATCCTCACTGTGCTTCCTTCACACTTCATGCATTCCTTTACACCTCTGCACATCCTTCTTGAGTCTTGGAACACTTCCCCTGCATCCTCATGTATCCCCTTCCATTCTCCCCTAAGAGTTGCAACTCTCCTATACCCGGGACTTGCAATTGTCCTCTACGTGGGACTTGCCAGCTTCGCTACTGACTTGGTTCTTTGAACATAGCAGGAAGTCATCTCACCTAATGATTACGGGATTCAGTTAATGATAACAACCCAAACTACAGGGACTGCCATTACTAAACAATGTGGTAACATTTTACAACTGCATTGTTTAGCGATGGAAATTTAGTCCCAATTGCTGTTGTAAGTCAACAACTACCTGTATCTCTGAATGGCTACATTTTCCTATACTTTTGTCTCATTCTCTTAGACAATCATTCTATACTTTTCTCTCATTACTTCAACTAAAACAATAATTCCACCCTCCTTACTCTCTAAGTAGAAGTTATTGTTTTGGTCCTACTTGTATGATATGCAACATTCTTAGCTAACAATATTGGTCAGTTTCTGGCGCACTTGGGCTTCTATGAGCGAACATATAGAGCAGTGGTAATCAACCTGGTCCCTACCGCCCACTAGTGGGCGTTCCAGCTTTCATGGTGGGTGGTAGGGATTTGGTCCCCTACTTTATAAATCACCATTACTGTGGAACCGGTGGGCAGTTAGAAAATTTTACTACTAACAGAGATACAGAAGTGGGCGGTAGGTATAAAATGGTTGACTACCCCTGATATAGAGGATATCTTTCTTGAAGGAAGGGTGGTACATTTGCATGAAATTACAAATAAATTATGAATGACTCAAAATTGTGATTATAATTATACACAAAATTCTATTTCAGCAGGATTTATTTCTACAAATAGGCTTTAAGACAGGTTAGCACAGTTGGTATCAGTAATGAGACATGCTTTGTACTAAAGCTGTGAATAGGCAGGACTTTTAAAAGAGCAATTAAACTAAACCTGGCTATCAACCATAGTATTGGCCTCCATTAAATAACAATTCTTTGTGTTGATATCACAGAAAGCATTGGATAATTTTATTCAAGAATTCAAAAGTACACATTGTAAAACTGAGTTTTACAGGATAGGATTCAGGATAGAAGAGCCTGCAATATGTATGCAGATTTATTTCAACAATATGCAAGAAATAATATTTTCTCTAAGTAAGTCTACAGACTGAACCTTCCTTAAGAATTTTTTCCTACCATTCTTACCAAGGTGTACAAGTAAATTATAATAGTTATAAAACCGGTGAAATATGTTAGAACTAGCCATGAGAATTAATAGGAGTTTAAAGTCTATGTTCTCTTTGGCTGAATTAACCATTTAGTACTGAAGTTTGCAGATGATGTAACAGTGCTTGGTCTCACTCGAGACAACGATGAATCTGCATACAGACGGTAGGTTGAACAATTAGCCTTGTGGTGCAACCAGAACAATCTTGAGCTAAATACACTCAAAACCATAAAAATGGCGGTTGATTTTAGGAGAAACCATCCTATACAACCACCTCTTACATACCAGACAACACAGTATCAACAGTAGAGACCTTCAAGTTTCTAAGTTTTATCA